AAAAAAAAAAAAAAAAAAAAAAAAATATATATATATATATATATATATATGTATGTTGATTTATGCCTTATAAAGCTATGTAATATTTTTTCAACTTTACTGAGTCATATGAGGCTAATAAATTTGTGTAAATTATCTAAATATAAGCCTTTCTTTCTCTGATAATGTGCTATTGATGCTAAGTTGTCAACAGTCTGCTTATCTCAGCAGTGTAAAGTTAATGGCAACATTGAAAAGTTACTTTTCTATATTATGCAATGACATAGAACAACTTAGTCACTTCCTTTAAGGCACCAAGGAAGCTGCTCTTCAGAAATGCTTATTTAAAACTCCCTAAGGTCAGTATCCAAGCACCACGGGATGCAGCATTAATCACTGATCAAACCCTGTCTTCTTGTGGAGATGACATACCCAGTACCAGATAATGTATCCACATCAGTGAAGGGTGGAGTCATTGTCAGATAGCACAAAGTGACTCGGAGCAGGGAAGATGGCAGTGGCAGAGGTGGGTGCACTGGCCAGGCGCAGTGGCTCACACCTGTAATCCCAGCGCTTTAGGAGGCCGAGGTGGGTGGATCACTTGAAGTCAGGAGTTCATACACCAGCCTGGCCAACGTGGTGAAACCCCATTTCTACTAAAAATACAAAAATTAGGCTGGGCATGGTGGCTCACACCTGTAATCCCAGTACTTTGGGAGGCTAAGGCAGGTGGATCACAAGGTCAGGAGATTGAGACCATCCTGGCCAACATGGTGAAACCCCATCTCTACTAAAAAGACAAAAAAAATTAGCTGGGCATGGTGGCGCATACCTGTAGTCCCAGCTACTCGAGAGGCTGAGGCAAGAGAATTGCTTGAACCAAGGAGGCAGATATTGCAGTGAGCCGAGATCATGCCACTGCACTACAGCCTGGGTGACAGTGCAAGACTGTCTCAAAAATGCTCATTTTAGATATACATGTTTTATTTGTGTACTTTTTTTTATAAAACAAGGTGAAAAAGGAAAAAAAAATTTAGATCAAGGAACTTAGGTGGATTAATAGAAGCTATACAAATTTATTTAACATGTTTATATGGGAGCCTTCAGAATGAAGACACACCCAATAAGAAAGCTTATGTATTCCAAGGCCAGGAAAGAATGCAGACTTGGCATGACCAAAAACTCGGAGGTTTGGTGGGTAAATCAGTTTTAATGGCAAGATAGATTATGCAAGAGGAAAGGAAAAAGCATGGCTAGCAAAGGAGACCTTGTTATGTAGATGAAGGCTCCCTCAGAGATAAGAGGTGGGAAATGCTGCTTTTCAGACTTGTTTATTTATTTTTCCTTTTTTTATTTTTTCCACGTAATACCTTTGACAATATCAGACTTTTATTTAAAATTTTAAATGATAGAGACAGGATTATGCTATGTTACCCATGCTGTTCTCTAATTGTTTGTCTCAAGCAGTCCTCCCAGCTCAGCCTCCCAAAGTGCATGAGCCACCATGCCCAGACAGGGTTTGTCCTTTGTAAAGAATTATTCATTTCTGGACACAGTGGCTTACATCTGTAATCCCAACACTTTGGGAGGCCAAGGCAGGAGAATCACTTGAGCCCAGGAGCTCAAGACCAGTCATGGCAACATGACAAAACCCCCTCTCCTCAAAAAATACAAAAAGTTAGCTGAATGTGGTGGCACATACCTGTGTTCCCAGCTATCTAGAAGGCTGAGGCCCTGAGCCTGGGTGTTTGATGCTGCAGTGAGCTGTGACTGTGCCGTTGCATTCCAGCCTGGGGAATAGAGTCAGAGCCTGTTTTAAAAAAATTCACTTATTGCAGCTTCAGATTTTTAAAATTAATGTAAATTGCCTTTTCACTACAATTGGAAAGATAAAATTTTGCACAGAGCCCAGATAAACATAGATTTCAGGAAAAAAAAAAAATCATAAGCCGGGCGTGGTGGCTCAAGCCTGTAATCCCAGCACTTTGGGAGGCCGAGGCGGGTGGATCACGAGGTCAAGAGATCGAGACCATCCTGGTCAACATGGTGAAACCCCGTCTCTACTAAAACTACAAAACATTAGCTGGGCATGGTGGCACGTGCCTGTAATCCCAGCTACTCAGGAGGCTGAGGCAGGAGAATTGCCTGAACCC